CAAGTACCTGAGAGCTGCATGATCAGTGTATACAATTACCTTAGAACCAATCAGATATGATCTAAACTTGTCANAGCAAACACCACAGCCAACATCTCCTTCTCAGTCACAGTATAGTTCAGCTGGGCTCCACTCAGCCTTCTACTAGCATAGTAGATTGGATGCATCAACTTGTCCTTCCGCTGTCAATTATGTTTCTTTCCGCTGGATTTTGATTTATACTTTTATCTTATTGAATTTCTTTTAAAATTATAATTTTCCTTAAGTATTTATTTGAAAAATGGAATGTTTGGAAATAAGTGGCTGGCCTATTATCACGATAGGCGCCATCACGATATGGTTAGATTTTGGGTCGTGACAAAAAGTCATTTGAACCATCTTATGTGGGTTTGAGATGCCGTTGATTGAGATTTTATATTTCACTAGCAAGCTATTGTAATTAGTTTATTGCTTCAAAATTGTAGAACCAAGCGGCCAACTATGATAAAATATCTTTTTTTTTTTTTGCACTCGACAAGAAAAATTATGTAACAGCATAATATATTTTCTTGACAAGACTAGAATAGAAAAATGATCCCATCTCTCCCTTGTTTTTTTCCTTTTTATATAGTGTATATTAATTATTTATTTTAATTTGTATTGTTCTCCATACACAGTAGTATTTGAATACATGAAAAAATATTATTTTCGTCCAATGTTTACACTAAACTATATATCAAATTAACTACTAGTATATCTTTATGGATATAGCAATGTATGTGAAACACCTTTGAAAGTATTGTCACTGACTCACTATAACCTATCGAGATATCTTTAGGTACAATTTGAATTGCGATCCTACTTACAGTTATGTATATCTCTTTGTTTGTATACAATTTACAATATACATATTAGTTCATTAATGTTGTAATTCATTCATCTTTTGTTGTATGATTGAAGACTGTGGCAGTATCCTTATCTCCGCGACCGCTCAAATTAACAACTACCTTCTCATCGTCCGCTAGAGTAGGGCAAAGTCTGTCAAGAAATGCAAGTGCATGTGAAGCTTCTAAGGCTGGGAATATCCCTTCTAGCCTGCACAACAGTTTATATGCTGCAACCATAAAAGTGAATAAACATCAATTACTATTGAAAATTTGAATGGTTAAGATTCCATCTTTCAAAAAGTTAGAGATAATTAATTTTACCTTCCAAGGCTTGTTCATCTTTGACACTAGAAAACTCTGCACGCCCAATGTCCTTTAGAAAGCTAAGCTCTGGGCTAACACCGGGGTACTCTAATCTGCATCCAACAATATTGCATTATTAAATTTGGAGGGTAACATTAAATACTCATTTATAGCAAGGATAAGACTTCAATTTTGTATCGATAACGTTTAAGATTCTTTTATACTATCAATAATGTAATTTAACCTGTAACAAACAAATAAGTAGTCAACTTTATCAAGTTGCCAATTAACTCATTAACAAGATTTACATATAACTATTTTATCGATGACCTGATTGGTAAAAAAAAAAAATTATCAATAAAGTCTTCATTTATCTACATATATGCTCCTTACCACCATATCATGTGGTGGGATGATTGAGATTCCTCCATTCTTAACTAGAGGTGTTGGGTTCCCTCGGAATGGAGAAATTTCGTATAGGGAGTGTTTTCCCTATACTAGTAGCGTAGTCAGGATTCTCACCAAGGGAAGTCAAAATATGAAAAATAAACATGCAAAAAGACAAAAGGGAATCAAGATATATATACACCTATACCTATCTATGCACTGTAAATTTAGGGCGAAGGGGTATCAATTGACACACGTTGGCAAAGAATGACTCTGCTACTGTTCTCTGTAGCACGAATCTGAATTAGTCGAGTCAATTGAGTACAGATACCATATGGTTTAACCTGCCCGCCCTCCCCCCAAAAAAAACACGTTTATTGTTTACTTGAGCTGAAAATGACATTGTATTTAATTGAGCTGTCTTGATTAAAATTATCCGTACGCTTGAAATTAAAGTGAAAGCTTACCCCACACCTATTGAGTAAGGTCCAATAATTTGTCCTTCCTCATCTTGTAACAGATAGCTCATTGCACCATGATACACCCCAACTTGACCTCTAGCCATAGTTGCTGAGTGTTTTCCTGTATCAAGACCTACCCCACCAGCTTCAACTCCTATTAGCCTCACATCTTCATCTTCAATAAATTCATGAAATAGACCCAACGCATTAGAGCCACTACCTACACAAGCCACTAACACATCTGGTTTCCCACCCCATTTGTCCATGGCTTGTTTCCTCGTTTCTTTTCCAATCACTGATTGGAATTCACGAACCATGGTTGGACATGGGTGTGGTCCTATCGCTGCACCTGCTAAGAAATAGCTTGTCTCCAAGTTGTTAACCCAACTTCTAATGCCTTCTGACACTGCATCTTTAAAACTCCCTTTAACAGATTTCACCTACATCAATATTCAAACATGTTAGGATCTGAGTAATTTACACAATAATTCAGTTACTTTAATGAGATACACATTGGTTTGCGACTTTACTATTATACTCTCACCATCTCAATTTACGTGACGATATTCGAACTTCGAGAGTCAAACGAATTATTTTTTGACCGTAATTTTTGAATATTTCAAATTATTTATTATTGTGACTTATACTATTTTTTTACGTAGTTTTTTTATTTTGAAAAACTTAAAATTTTTACGTCCAAACACAATGTCAAAATAAGAAGTTTAAATCTCGAAAATGAAAAAGTGTCACATATAGGACAGAGAAAGTAGCAGATAAAGTTAGTGATGTCAGTATGACAAAAAATATAAATGATTTTGTGAAAGAAGAAGTACCTTTGCACCAAGATGCTTCATCAAGAGTACATTAGAAGGTTGTCTCTCCATATCTAAGCTTCCCATGAATACAGTACACTCCAATGAGAGTTTAGCACAGGCAGCCGCCGTCGCGACGCCATGCTGGCCAGCACCGGTGGCTGCTATGATATTTTTACAGTCCATGCGCTTAGCCAACATTGTTTGTGCAATAGCGTTATTGATCTTGTGTGCTCCAACATGGTTCAAATCTTCTCTTTTTAGATAGATGTCTGGCCCTTTTCCCCTATTTCTGCTCTTGTAGTGATCTGTTAGTCTCTCAGCGAAGTATAAAGGAGTTTCACGGCCTACGTAGTCCCTTAGTGCCACTTCGAGCTCCATCTGCATAAAAAAATTTATATGTTGTTAGTTTAAAATATTGCTAGTCAAGAGTTTCTAGTAATTCTGTTAGGCTAAACCACCTCAAAGATACTCTTAACACATAGTCAGATATTATCTGCTTTAGGTCACACTCGCACGATTTTTTCTAAAAGGTCTCACACCATCAAACGACCCAATCTCACATGTTGGCTCACAATCTTTTCAGCTACTAATGTGAGACTTTATTCACACGCCCAATAATCTCCCCCTCGAATTGAACTAAGTTTCACGTGTCACAATCCACGGGTCAATTTCTATGATTCACTGTGTGCGATACAAATTCTTAGAGTATTTATGGCAATCGAAGCCTGCTACTAGCTTCTTTTTGAGTTTGCATCTCCAAACCGAGCCTCGCATCATTACTTTGCCATCGCCATATACTCCCGCTGATCCTGGGTTCTGATACGAGTTGTTGGTCTAAACCAGCTCAAGGATACTCATAATATGGTGTGTATTATTCGCTTTGGACAAGCCCGCACGATTTTTTCCAAAAGTTCTAACATCGTTAAAAATTCTCCCTACGTCTTATACGCAGGTTGTTCGCACACCCAACAAATTCTTTTATTATCTGACATGAAGTTTACAAATAAAGTGGGTAAAGCGCTGATATGGCAAATGACGTGGGCGGCGAAATTTACTGAGCATTTCGCACATAGGTGATTAGTTACTATAATGGGAGCAAAAGTAGTTTTATGACTTTACTGTTATAGTGCATCAATTTCAGCGATAATACACAGGCAACTCGTTTTTTTGTTGGAATAACATTGGAAACAACTCTCTCATAACTTTGTAGGAGTACGTGAAATCGTATAAAAAAATAGTTACATGTACTAGTACTAGTAAGGGAATTTAAGAAAAACCTGAAACTGAGGATCATGCAAAGCAGAGTTGAATTCGTAATCAAGCTTTGTTAAAGAAGATATAAGCGTCTCAGGTACGAACTTTCCACCAAAAATCCCAAACTTTTCATTGTTCAATATTGATCTCTTTTTTTCATAGTAAACCAGCTTCCCTGGTAACTCTGTAACTCGGCTCGGGCCAGTAGCTACGGAAAATATAGCAAATTTTCCTTTCCATTTTCTGCTATATGACAATCTTGGTTCACCAGATGTAGCAATTTTTGCTTGTCGAAAATTAACTTCGATGTTACATACCATAATGTCTTTGTTAGGGATGTATAAAAAACAAGAATGAACTAGAACTTAAGGCTGCTAATATATTGAGAACTTCAAGACAACAGTAACAATAACAAACCCAGTGTAATTCTACAAAGCGGGGTCTGAGAGGGTAGAGTGTAAGCAGACCTTACCCCTGTCTTATAAAGATAGAGAAGCTATTTTCGGTAGACCCCCAACTCAAGATAAAAGTAAAAGAAGCAGGCACAACATGTAGTAACATCGACAAAATAAGATGATAAGGTGACAGAGTGATAGAATAACAGAAGCCAAAGAATACTAAGAACTTCAAGAAAGATTTGAAATTGTTATCTCACGTGTGTTATTCTTGTTATAGCAGTTTATAGGGAAGAGACCCATTGAACACAAACAGATATATATAGCAAGGGGATCAAGGTTGTTGAATTAGCATAGGGTTGCCTGAAATTGTACATAGACTACAGCTCTAGTTAAATAGCCTCAGTCTAAAGATTAACCTATTCATTTGATGGCTAAGGCTATTAATTTGTGTATATAGTTACATACACGTGTTTGGCTACAGTAGTACTTAAAATTTATCAACGTTTTAAACGAACAGCTATCATTCGGACTAAAGACTATTAACTAGAGTTGGGCATAGTTTGGGCTAAACTCTAAATTCAAATAGAAATTTTTGGATTTTTGGTTTGGATTTTCGTATTACGGATTGGATTATGGATTTAGTTTTTATTATTTTTTGATTGGATTTTGGATTTGATACTTCAGTTTTTTGGATATCCGAGAATCCGTTATTTTTATACTTTATATTTAGTCCATTATCCATATGCAAATAGTAATAAGTTCGAATACCATACCCAATAGATATTATCTCATATATTCAAATTACTAAGTTACTATCAGAATACTTTCTATTTGGACATAGTTTTACTATTGCTACTTTGTATCGGCCGTATTAATATCTCTATTACATTTTCTTGATAATAATTTCATTACTTGAATAAATGTTTGGATGATTATAGTGAGAATACTTTTTATTCAGATCCCGTCTTATAGAGGATTTGAATATTATAGTTTCGAGATTCTAATTTACTACCATCAAGTAGATTTATTGAGTCTAATATTTGTTATTTATATTATTTAATAAATTATTTTAATATGTGTTATTGGATTTCGATAAATCTATGGCTTGTTCAATGCACTCGTCTCTATAGAGCCGTCAATATTGGCTTGGCCTGGTGGGCCGGCCCAACCCAGCCTGTAATTTGATAGGTTGGCCAAGATTTTTGGAGCCCATTCAAAAAATGAGGCTTTTTAAGCTCGGCCCAAGTAAGCCCGTGGCCCATGAGGCTTGATTGAGACTGGGCTGGACCGGCTCGTGGGCTTAATAAATATTCAATTAAAAAAAATAGGGAACTAAAAATAAAAAGAAGAAGAGTCCAATCTCAATTGGCACTATTATATAATGTGAATTCAACATATTTTTTGTTCTTAAAATTTAGTGATTTTTTAATGTTTAACTAATTAAAATTGTGTATATTTATAGATTTAGTTAAAAATAAAGATGTTGAGACATTTTTGTTTCATAAAAAGGATTCAAATGTGCTTGATGAAGATGATTTGTTGGTATTGGATATGTTATGAGCACTTTAAAAATATTTTTGGATAGTTTATTTTGAGTATTGACTTTTAATGGATGAAATATTGTCCTCCTTTTTTGTATTTTGTATTAATCCATTGGAAAAATATCAAAAGCTATTAAATTTTGCAGAAACTTTCTATCCAATAAGTATAATTTTTTGACTAGTAAAAAATATATATATTTATTTTAGGTTAAAACCTAAATTTTAAATATACAAAAATAATTTTTAAATATGATAGGCTAGTTCGTGAGGACCAGTGGCCCACGTAGGGCTAGGTTGGACTGACTATCCCTTTCTATCTTTATGTAATAGTATATCCCTTCAGTATTCCTCTTTTGGTTAGACATTTCTAGAGTTAGAGCTTCTTATGTATCTCTTAGCTTGTGATTCATGGGTTTCCGGATTTTGGGAGAAGTATATATATTGGATTTGATAGTTATATTTTGTATGCCGAGCGACACTTTTAAAACGCTGTTTTATTACATTATTTCTATTTTAAATTGTATTCTTCCGCAAATTGGTTTATCTTATGCGTTTTAGGCTTACCTAGTCATAGAGACTAGGTGCCGTCACGATGGTTCACGGAGGGCGAACCGGGGTCGTGACAAGGACTAACAATTAATGCAGGAAACTCCAACATATATGCTGTTAATATGGAGACTCAGGAGATAGAGAGCTTATGTGAAATAACTAGCTATAGTAGAGGCTGTCTTCCCTTCAAGTACCTAGATGTTCCAATATCATTGAATAAACTATCAAAAATGGATTGTCAAGTACTAATAGATAAAATAATAACTAGAATAAGGAGTTGGGGTTCAAAACACCTATCTTATGCCGGGAGAGTGCAAATGATTAATGCAATGTTGATGCATCTCCACACGTACCGGGCATCGAATTTTCTGCTTTCCAAAGCAGTGCTCAAAATAATAACAACAATATGTTGTAACTATCTATGGGATGGCAAGGTGGAAACAAATAGAAGACCATTAGTGGCCTAGGATCTTGTTTGTAGGCCAAGGCAAGAGGGAGGAATAGGAATAAAGGACTGTATAGCATGGAACAAGGCATCAATAGGGAAATATGTTTGGGATATAACGACAAAGGCTGATTCTTTGTGGGTCAAATGGATCAACCATATATACTTAAAGAACACTGATTGGTGGCTATACAGTGTACCACAAGATAGTAGCTAGTATTAGAAGAAAATTTGCCATATAAGAGACAAGCTTGCAGGGGTATATAATCAGGGAGGATGGAAATCACAAACAGGTAGATATACAATCATGAAAGGGTACTCATGGTTGAAAGGAAATCTGGTCAAATGCCATTTGGGAAGATGGGTTTGGAATAAACAAAAAATTCCAAAACATAGCTTCATTTGTTGGCTGATTATGCAAAGAAAGCTGCTCACAAAGAATAGGCTAGCTTATAGATGGATCAATTCAGATGGCATATGTGTATTATGTGGAGAATCAATTGAACACTTGTTCTATGTGTGCCAATTTTCTAAATTGTGTATTACTGAAATTCTTGAGTGGTTAAAGATAAGAATCACAAACTATGAAGGACATCATCTATGGCAAAGAGTAGGCAGGAAAATGGGAAGTAAACTATGGAAGGAGTTCTCCTTTGCTGTATTGGCAGCATTGAACTACCACATATGGAAGGGGAGAAACGAAGCCTTATGAAAAAGTTCAGTGCCTAGACCAAGCAGGTTATGTGATCAAATCAAAAAGGAATGCAAAGTTCGTGTGATGGAGATAATCAACAAACGGAAGCGGGACAAGGATAGAAGATGGATAGAAGAAGTATATAGCTAGATAGGGGATAGAAATAAATACTATTTGTACAAAATAGGATACAAATAAATTTACTTGTGCTTAGCTGAGTAAGTACGAGAATTTATATATAGCAGGGTGCTAGAGTCGTTTTGTATTTCCTCATTATACTTGTTCTGGTGATGAATAAAAAAATTCATTCGACCAAAAGAAATAAAATTAACTACTACTATCTTTTTATGGATATAGCAATTTTGTGAAACACCTTTGAAAATATTGTCACTGACTTACTTAGGTACTAGAATATCTCTTAATTTGATTTGTGATCCTACTTGCTAGGTTGACAGTTATGTATATCTCTTTCTCTTTTTACAAATTACAATATACACATCAATTCATTAATGTAGTAATTCGTTGTTGGTTCATTCATTTATTCATTCATCCTTTGTAGTATGATTGAAGACTATGGTAACATCCTTATCTCCGCGGCCGCTTAAATTAACAACCACTTTCTCACCATCCGCTAGAGTAGGGCAAAGTTTGTCAAGAAATGCAAGTGCGTGAGAAGCTTCCAAGGCTGGGAATATCCCTTCTAGCCTGCACAACCATTTATATGCTACAACCACAAAATTGAACAAACATTCATTAATATTGAAAACTTGAATGGTTATGATTCTATCTTCCACAAAAGGTAATTAATTTACCTTCTAAGGCTTGTTTATCTGTGACAGTATAAAACTCTGCGTGCCCGATATCTTTTAGAAAGCTAAGCTCTGGGCTAACACTTGGGTACTCTAATCTGCATATTCAACAATATTAATTGCATTAAATTTGGAAGGTTACATTGAATACTCATTTATAGCAAGGATAAGACTTAAATTATGTATAGCTAACGTTAAAGATTTTTTTTTTAATATACTATCAATAATATAGTTTAAGCCGTGATAGCAAATAAGTTGTCAATTTTATCAGGTTACCAATTAACGCATTAAGGATATTTACATATAATTACTTTATAGGTGACCTTATTAATAAAAAAATATTTTTATCAATAGAACTTGGTTTATCAATCCACATATATGCTCCATGTCACTACAGGATGTGGTGGATTTGAAGAGATTCCTCCACCCTTAACTAGAGGTATTGAGTTCCCTCTAAATAGAAAAATTCCTTATAGGGAGTGCTTTTTCTATGCCGCTTAGTCAAAACATAAAAAGTAAACATGCAAAAAGGCAAAGGGAGTCAACATATATTATATATATATAAAAATATTTTTTTTACCTACCTATGCAATGTAAATTTGTAGCAAAGGGGTATCAATTGACACCCTATGGCAAAGAATGGCTTCGCCACTGCCCTATACAACACGGATCTAAAGTAGCCGAGTCAGTTGATTACATATACCAGATGGCTCAAAAAAAAACATGTTCTTTTATTCCTTACTTGAGCTGAAAATGACATTCTATATAATTGAGCTCTCTTGATTAAAATTATCCGTACGCTTAAAATTAAAGTGAAAACTTACCCCACACCTATTGAGTAAGGTCCAATAATTTGTCCTTCCTCATCTTGTAACAGATAGCTCATTGTACCATGATAATTATCGCCTAAAATTTTACCGGCCCATAAAATAATTATCGCATCGTCATGACCGTTCCTCAGTTTTTAGTGTTTTTGGGCATAAAACTAGAATTCCACTCAATTCCGAGATTCTGTATACTATAACCCACGCTATTTGCATGGCCGAACCTGAATCACCTAAAATTTCGCCTATGATTATACTCTCTGTGTCCCAATTTATGTGACAGTATTTAAATTTTGAGAGTTAAACGAATTATTCTTTGACCATAATTTTTGTGTGTTTGAATAT